ATATCTAACTAACTAACTAACTAACTAACTAACTAACTAACTAACTAACTAACTAACTTGTATGGGCAAAGTGTATAAAAATCACTTGCCAAGCATAAAACTGAATGAAGCCAATTCTTGAAATTTTCTTTACAGTGTCACCAGGTCTGTCCCGCAGGATAAAAAACACCTGGACTCCATATTTAAGGTCTGTACGTTTACAATTACTTGTTTTTTTCTGTTCATTTCATTGTAAGTTTTTAAATTTTTCACAAAGAATAAAATTCAAAAGAAAAGCTTAATAATTTGATTTAGCTCCTGATGGAACTTTATTCAGCCAGAAACTCCACATAAGGACTACAAACAGATTGAATTAGATTAAAACTAGGAGAAAGTTTATTTGCACTTTCAGTTAAGCTAATGTTAACTAACTTTAGCAGGGAGAAAGCAAGTTTTATCGATTGAAGAGTTGGTGTGGGCTACCAGGAATTTGACTGACGTGGCTTTCTTCTGGCTGACGTTAGCTAATGCTCTTTTTGCTAGTATGGACACATTTCAAGGTGTCTAATGTAACAAAATGAGGTGGATAAAGTCAGCTGATCATTCCAATCCTATGTTGCTCATCTGGATGATAAAATATCTTGCCAATATTTTGTAAGTTAATAATAATAAGTAACCGTTGACTGATTTATGTAATGTTGTTAAATTATAAGTGGTTGTAAATGTTATTATATGCAAAACAATTAATGAATCGAAATCCTAGTTGTCTTATCTTCTAAATACTTTACCAGGTAATATTATCCATGATAACCACACATCGATTATGTGGTTATTGTTCGTATAGTCTATTTACAACTTACTTAAATATTTAGTTATCCTTTTTTAGAGCTTTGGATTGTGAATATAACCAGAACTTCAGAGAATATCAAGGTTCTGTTCTTTTTCCAGCACACCAGTGCTGATTCGCCATGTCCCTTTTCACTGTAGGAGAAAAACAAGGTAGCCGGTAAGTCCGGTCAGGAGAATCACTTCACCGGAGAGGCATAAAACATATATTGTATCAGTAGATACTGTTATAATTGTGTAAAAAGCAATCATGGCTAATGCTTGCTTGCTTCAATATAAAGGGCAATAAAAAAAGAACTAGACCATTACATTAAAAGTATGTCCAACATATAGCTGATGCATGGCTGATGTTTCTCAATGATTTCAGTCTGAATGTGAATGTAGCATTCAAATAATGTTTTCCAGCTGTTGGAGGAGAACCTCAATGCTTTTGTGAAGAATGAACTGAAAAAGATCCAGAAGGTTCTGAGTCCAGATTACATAAAGAGTCAGGCAGAGGAGTTGTTGCAGGGTGACCATGAGATGGAGAGGAAGAGCAGCAGCGAGGCATTTCTTCGGATCACAGCGAACTTCCTGAGAATAATGAAGCAGGAGGTGCTGGCTCAACGTCTGGAGAATAGTAAGAGGATTTCTCTAAAGATATAATAAGTGGTAGACCATTTTATTATTATTACTATTATTATTATTTATATTACATAAATGTTGTTTGTGTATTCTTTTAGGATTCCCCATCATGTGTCAGAATAAACTTAAATCTAACCTGAAAAAGAAGTTCCAGTGTGTGTTTGAGGGAATTGCTAAAGCCGGAAACCCAACCCTTCTGAATCAGATCTACACAGAGCTCTACATCACAGAGGGAGGGACTGCAGAGGTCAACCAAGAACATGAGATTAGACAGATTGAAACAGCATCCAGGAAATCAGACAGACCAGAAACAACAATTAGACAAAAAGACCTCTTCCAGACATCTGGAAGAGATAAGCCAATCAGAACGGTCCTGACAAAGGGAGTGGCTGGCATTGGAAAAACATTCTTAACGCAGAAGTACATACTAGATTGGGCTGCTGAAAAAGCCAACCAGGACATCCAATTCATGTTTCCATTCACTTTCAGAGAGCTGAATTTGTTGAAAGAGAAAAAGTTCAGCCTGGTGGAACTTGTTCATCACTTCTTTACTGAAACCAAAGAAGCAGGAATTTGCAGCTTTGAAGACTTCCAGGTTCTGTTTATCTTTGATGGTCTGGATGAGTGTCGACTTCCTCTAGACTTCCACTACACAGAGACCCTGACTGATGTTACAGAGCCCACTGCAGTGGGTGTGCTGCTCACAAACCTCATCAGAGGTAAGCTGGTTCCATCTGCTCGAATCTGGATAACCACACGACCTGCAGCAGCCAATCAGATCTATCCTGAGTGTATTGACATGGTGACAGAGGTTAGAGGGTTCACTGAACAACAGAAGGAGGAGTACTTCAAGAAGAGATTCAGAGAAGAACAGGCCAGCAGGATCATCTCCCATATCAAGACATCACGAAGCCTCCACATCATGTGCCACATCCCAGTCTTCTGCTGGATCACTGCTACAGTTGTGGAGGATGTGCTGAAAACCAAAAAGAGGAGAGAGTTGCCTAAGAACTTGACTGAGATGTACATCCACTTCCTGGTGGTTCAGGCCAAAGTGAAGAAGGTCAAGTATGATGGAGGATTTGAGACAGATCCACACTGGAGTCCAGAGAGCAGGAAGATGATTGAGTCTTTGGGAAAACTGGCTTTTGATCAGCTGCAGAGAGGAAACCTGATCTTCTATGAATCAGACCTGACAGAGTGTGGCATTGATATCAGAGCAGCCTCAGTGTACTCAGGAGTGTTCACACAGATCTTTAGAGAGGAGAGCGGACTGTACCAGGACAAGGTGTTCTGCTTTGTTCATCTGAGTGTTCAGGAGTTTCTGGCTGCTCTTCATGTCCATCTGACCTTTATTAAGTCTGCTATCAATCTGCTGGAAGATCAAATCTCCCAGAAGTGTGAAACAAGAGAATTTGCAGAGACACAATTCTATGTGAGTGCTGTGGACAAGACTTTAAAGAGTCCAAATGGACACCTGGACTTGTTACTCCGCTTCCTTCTTGGTCTCTCACTGAAGGAAAATCAGACTCTCCTACGAGGTCTTTTGACACAGATAGGATGTGGCTCACAGACCAAGCAGGAAAATATCCTGTACATCAAAGAGAAGATCAATCAGAATCTGTCTGCAGAGAAAAGCATCAACCTGTTCCACTGTCTGAATGAACTGAATGATCGTTCTCTAGTGGAGAAGATCCAACAGGCCCTGAGTTCAGGAAGTCTCTCTACAGATAAACTGTCTCCTGCTCAGTGGTCAGCTCTGGTCTTCATCTTACTGTCATCAGAAGAAGATCTGGATGTGTTTGACCTGAAGAAATACTCTGCTTCAGAGGAGGCTCTTTTGAGGCTGCTGCCAGTGACCAAAGCCTCCTGCAAAGCTCTGTAAGTAAACAGTGGTGTTTCTTTACAATCCATTACTTAGTGGACAGTGGAGAGTATTTAATAACTTACTACACATTTTCTTATTTCCATTTTCTCTTATTTTATTTTATTTTTTTACATTTTGCAGACTGAATATCTGTAACCTGTCAGTGAGAAGCTGTGAAGATCTGTCCTCAGTTCTCAGCTCCCCGTCCTCTAATCTCAAAGAACTTGACCTGAGTAACAACAACCTGCAGGATTCAGGAGTGAAGCTGCTGTCTTCTGGACTGAAGAGTTCACATTGTATACTGGAAAGTCTCAGGTCAGTATTCACATATCTGTTACAACTCATAACATGTAGATGAATTTGTAAGACTGTATGATTTGCAAATTAATTGTTGCATATCCTTCTTTATTTTGGATATTAGTTTTATTAAGATTTTATATTATTTTCCTCTGCTTTTGCTTCTTGCTTGTGACTGTGAATTCACATTTAACCCTTTAAAGCCGGTTTTGCGTAACTATTTTTAAATACCTGTAGAACCGGAACCACGTAAGCTAGCGCAATAATATTTTTTTGCACATGAAACCAGAGGAGTTGTACTTACATCTTATGCCATCAGCTTGTCCTAGGTCACGGTTTCCTTCCACATATAGCTTTGCAAAAATTGCATAAAAAGCGCTTGCAGGAAGAAAAACATAATATTCCAGAAACACACTTTGCCAATGCGATCAGCTGTTCGTAACACTTCCTACATTGAAATAGACATCAGCGTGACCGATCGCATGTCCCCCATTACCATTACCCAAAACCGGAAGTGACGTCATTTTCGCGGAAAATGTAGTTTTTTACTTGTAGGCCTTAAAAGCCTATACTGTTTTTTTTTTAAGTCATGTTTGACATGCTTAGAACTGAAATTGCACTGCTTTAAATAGTTTATTTTGATGCACATGCTGTTTTCTTTGCAAATTTGTATCATAGGATTGTTTTTTGTTTTTCCTGCAGTATATAAAAATTGTTGTATCTCAAAAATAAAACTATGAAGACACTCAAAATAAATTTCCTGTTGTTGTAAACTATTTTTTGCAACTTCTTTATATATAAAGTTTTGAGGGATGAACCTCTTAAATTTCTCCAAGTAGAAATATATGTAAAAAAGACAAAAAAGAATTTGAAATTATTTGTAGTTTATTGCACTTTTTTGCAATTTATGCAGTTACTATGGACTTAATGCAAACATATTATTAAAATTTGGGCTATAACAGTTGTATTGATGTATAGCAACAAAAATGGCACTACAGCATGTAAAAATATAAAGTAAGCTCTGGTGGACTTGGTTCTATGGTAGGTCTTAAAGGGTTAAAAAACCTTTTAGTAATACTCTTGTCAAACACTTCACCCTTCAATACATTTAAATGTTTGAACTGTGATGATCAAATATTTTTAGACTTTTCCTTCTGAATGACACTTCGGTGACGTTCTTTTAGATATTCACTTTGTTCTCATAAAGATATAATAAGTTTGATGATTTTACTTTTCATCATCGGGTCAATATTTTGGCTTAATGAACCACTGCTCTAAGAAAACCTTTGTCTGGTGTTACTAAAGCCAACTGTGATTTGATAGCAGCCTTGAGCTAGTCTGTATTTTTATACTTTTTGTGGAAGGTGTTAATCATCATAGTCTGCACAACTGTCAACTATCAACACTGTTCTCCATGACTGTGGTTGGGTGTTACTGACCTAGACTGCTTATACAATGTTTGAATACTTTTTTACTGTAATATGACCATAGTTGAGATTTCTGATTATCATGTGCTATAAGCTACAATTATCAATGTTAAAACAAAGGCTTGAAATATTTCACTTTCACTATAGAATACATACAAGTTTACCATACCACATTAAATTACAAAAAAGTATTTTCACAATATTCCAGTGTTCACATGCTGGATGGACTAGGGAACGATATCAAGTGAACTATGTTAATCTGTGAAATCAGAACCCCAGTACACGAAATCTGCCTCGGCTCTCTGTTTATAAAGTCTAGTCTCTGATCCTATGAGCATTATCCAGTTGAGAGTGCAGAGCTTAGATGGAGCCAACAGATGAGGGGATTTGCTCAGTTCTAACTGCATCTATTCTGGATGTCTATCCTTCTTATCTCTGAGGAACCCTTGTAGCTCAAGGAAGATTCCCCAGCAACACATATTAATGACAGCTCCCATCTAGATCAGTGCTCTAGGAATATGACTGGTTTTATTTTAGTGACTCGGTAAACTAAGCCACAGGGGTCTGTAACTTTTAAAAGCCTGGACTAACCTGTAAGAGCTACTAACTAATTTGGGATTAATACTCAGATTTTTAAACAATAATTAAATCACCTGAGTTAGAGCAGGGCGATATGGCCAAAAATATTTATCACGATATATATATTTGAAAATTTGCGATAACGATATAACCGACGATATAATTGATGCGAGACAAAATACAACTCCACAACATTACTAGCGCAAAAAGACAACCTTCCATTTATTTTCACTTAAACAAGAAGCTGGTTTTTATGTACATTAAAGCTTTATAAAA